AAGAAAATAAACGCCCAACAAAAATTTTATAACTTTGTTTTCATATTGATGAATAGAATTTTGGGGTATAAAACCAAACAGAATCTGTAAGGTAAACCTTATAGGTGCTGGGTTTGTCATAACAATGGCCATAAAAGCTAACTATGTTTTCATAATACAAAAAAAAAAAATTTCGGCCTTTAAAGTCAAAATAACAATCTTTTGTCTTGTTTCTTCAATAAAGAGAACAAATTTTTTTTTAACCATTTATCATTCGCAATTGATTCTAAAAATTTGTAAAAGAAAAATACTAATTTTATTTGTAAACATTTTGGAAAAATAATTTTTTTTTCTTAAATTAACAAAAAGGATTCCAAATTTTTTTGATTACGATTTCAGTTCAGTAATTTTTGACAAAAGAATAGTTCTTAGAGTCTGAAATGACATTAAGGGAAAAAAAATCAAATGATAATGACTGCGAATTTAAAAAAAAATTTTTCTAAATATTTTACAATAGTGTTAGTGTTGTAAATAAATTTGTTTTTATGCAATAAAAAAAAAATCGCGCCCTTTCTAAAAATCAACAAACATGAATTAGGACAAAAGAGTATTTGTGTATAGAAAAGGTAAGCTGCACTCAAATATTAAAGAAGGATCGGTTTTTTGTTTGATCTCGAATGCAGTTTATGCGTCAATTGTTCCAAAAGATATCTTAATGTTCTTTTTTGTTTTGATTAAATGAATGTACTGACAGCATAAATTGTGTATTTACTATATGTATATATGTATGTATATGGTAATGATAATAAATTAATACGAACATCTTAATTCTTAATTTTTTATAATGAGCTGTACATATACAGAATTCTTTTTAGCAACTGTATGACATTTTAATAAAATCATAAAGAAAAAATAAATTGTTTATGCTTTCAATTTAGATTCTTTCCTTAGAATAAAATTTTTAGAAATTTACCCTACGTATTTTGTTGAAACAAGTACTGGGAATTAACGGTTGAGGTATGGAACTTTAAGGTTGAAATATTAGCAAATCTAAACGAAGACTGATGGAAATTGTCAGATTATATTCCAGAACCGAGATTTTGAAATAGTTGCAAAGGAGATTTTGTATAGCAAAGAACTTTGAATTCGTGACTTTCATATTGTAAAAATTTAGGCAAAAAATTGTCATCCGTATTATTTATGCAGAAATATTGGCGAAACATTAATTCCATACTGTTTAGAACCTGTTTTGAGTGCAAAAAAGAAGCAGATAATCATCTGAAACTCGATACTATTTCTAAACTTTCAGAGTACCCTCTTACAAGTTGGTTGACTTTAAGACGAATTGACAAATGTTAAATTCAAATGCGAATCTCATGACATACTATTTTGACAATTTGAAATTCAAATTCGTTTTATAATATTAACTAAACTATTCTCTGTAAACTTTTAACATTGCACAATTTAAGTAAAAATATTAAAGTTTAAGAGACTGCTTGAAAAAGAGGCTACAATGAGTAAAATTGTTTACGTAACTAGTTTTCTGAAATTATAAGACACAGTCATGAGATAGTGAAGGCTAAATAAATTCACTTATCCAACTCTAATCCATGTTGTTATAAACATTAGTGTTAAAAAATTTTTAATTTAATTGCGAAGACGGACAAATGCAATATGATAATCGGGTTTTGCTCTCGCAGTTATAAAATTTTTATTGCTATTGACTCGAACCTGAATTGCTTTAATATGATCAGATGAACGAATTTCATTATTCTTTATTCTTACTATCTGATTTTCGTCAATCACATAAATTAAACCTTTTAAATGTTTGCCCCACCTCTGCTCCCGCCCCTGCCCACTTTAAGTCTAATAATTTGTGTTCTCAATTATTTTCTTAATAATTTGTACAACTAGTTTTCATATACATGCAATTTATTGGTTTTATTAGTCAAACTGGCACTGTATAAGATGTACGAATACCTTTAAATTGTACGAAATTATTTTTCGCTATTACTTTTCACTTAACGGAATCTTTTATATGGCACTCACTAAAAGAAAAAGCCGTTTCCTATATTAAAAAATCCTTTAAAAATTATGTGGAACAAATTTTAGCTATGAGACGCAATATTAAATCTATCCTGTTTTTGGACGGATTCAAAAACTTAAACATGAAAAAAAAATAACAATGTCACCTTTTTACATAATAAAATGATTTTTAATACAATTCTTTTCGTATCTATCCTTTTTTTTTTAGAATTAAAAAATTGTCCTCAGAAAATCAGTTTTTTTTCATTCTGCTTTTCTTCTTGTAAATTTTACATACAGGTTAAATAAAAATGCCGCAAAAGCTATAAACAAAAAATTTTTCAGCTTCAAAAAAAACGAATGAAATAAAAAAAGAAAATATTGCGAGGGCAACAATAGATTTAAAGTATAAGAAGCAAAAATTAAAGGATAAAAAAAAACCAGAATTAAAGAAAGAAAAAAATTAGAATCCATTGATAATGTTAAGAAATTGGTTTTTATAACTCCAATATTCTCATCTGAACGTTATTGAAACCAGAATAAGAACAAAAAGAAAAGATTACATAACATGCCCCTGGATATAAGACAATAATAGAAAAAAAAGGATATGCTGCAACTACACAACTATACCATTGATATTTTCACATCCTTTTTTTTCTCTCGTTCCTTGACAAATATTGTGTCATCGATGTTCAATAGAACTTGGAATTTTTTTTCCTTATTTATTTGTGTTTTTTTTCTTTGTATTTTTTTGTATCAAAAGAACAAAACAGGACAAAAATTTTTCTTTTTTCCCTTTTTCGTTTCCTTTTATTTCAAATATTTATTCTTTTCGCCTCTCTTATTCTTTGGAGCTCAATAATTTCACCTTTACTGATACTGTTGCTGCTGCTGCTGCTAATATTGATTCTCTATATGTTATTGTTGTTGGAATTGCAATAAAATTCAAAATATAAAAAGTTGTAAGGACATTAATAATTTTTTAAGTTTTGTGTTTTTTTTTTCTATTTTCAATTTTGAATACATTTTGCTATTTTTAATTTTTAATTTATTGTTATCCAGTTTACATTGTTGTGTAATAGAGATGTCATTTCTTTCAGTATATCACCAATTATTGTTGGTGTATGCCAGTGTTGGTATTATGATTTTGTTTTTTCTTTCTATTTGCTATTTGCTTTTGCATTGTTTCATTTAAAATGTGCCCCTATTGTTTTTCTTTTTTTTTGTTCAAAATATTCTTTTTAGTATCCTTTAAGTTTTTCTATGATTTTTATTTCTTAATTTAAAAGGTAGACGTCATGTCTCCAAATGAATTTATATATAAGTAAAGGTATGACGTGAAGAAGGTCCAATTTACCATACATTCATAAGGCTTACAGAAAAGAAACAATTTATTAGGTCGTATGATGGTGATTCATTTGTTTTTGGAAATCAAAATTTCGTTATATGGTCAGTTCTAGTAAAAATTCAATAATTTTCTTCACTTTTTTTTTATTGTTCAAATGTTTTATAAAAAGACGGCAATTTTGACAATGACAGAAAAAAAAAATTTGTTCTTTTTGGCCAGAAACAGTAATAAAACATAAGTGATTCTCTATTATCATGATAAAAAAAAGACAAGAAAAAAACAAGAAGAAAAATAAAAGGATAAATTTTTTTCCTTGCACATAAAAGAAAGAAAACTTTTTTTCTTCTTCTTCTTCTTGTTCAATGTCCATTTACAGTTGTCCTAGTTGTCCTTTTAAAATATTTTGTGATTTTATTTTTTTTTTATTGTTTTGTTCTTGTTAAATTGTCATTATAATCAGCCGATTGATTGTGCAATGTTTGGTAAATATTGACTTTTTTTGTGCAAAAAAAAAAAAAACAAAATTCAAAGTAGAACAAAGGCAGGGCGATGAAATAAAATTTTGGATTTTTTTTAGGAAAATTCGAACAATAAGTTGAAAAAAATTTTAATTGAACAATAAAAATAATGTAATTTTTATTTGTACACAATATCTATATGAGCCTTTCAAAAATAAGGTCTATTTAAATTTTGCACAAATATTTGGAGGCGGATTTTTTTATTGTAAATATTTTCAATGTCTTATTTTCCAAACAAAAAAATAGCAAATTACTTTAAATAGAAAAATATTTGATAAATTGCAAAATATTTCTCAATAAATTTGTTCTTTTTGCCCGCCATTGTTTGCGTAGAATCGAAATTGATTCTAAGTAAATTTAGACATCATAATAACAGTAGCGAATAAAATCTTCTTACCTAAGGTAGAGTCATAGCATTATTTTATTGAAAAATAAAGAATTTTGTAGAATTTTTGTGTGAAAAAATTAAGCCCCTGAAATAATTTTAAATTGATATTAAACCACATTCCAAATAAAAGTTCATTCCAAATTCATCAACAGAACCAGAAACAGAAAGAACGAAGTTTGATAAAACGAAATTTTTGAACCGAAATTTGGATTTGCAGCGTTCATTACGCCCATTTCTATTGCCCATTTTCCCCATGACGGGAAAATTTTTGAAAAACTTATAGAACTTCTCAGAAACACCATGTATTAAAGCACTTGAACTGAAGTAGAACCTAACTAAACTCTTTTATCAAAGATAAATAATTTTGTCGTCCACAGGAATCGTTTGAAAACTATGAAAATTAAATATCATAAGAGTTGGACTTTCGGCTTTAATAAAATACTTATATAAGAAGGAGCACACTTTTAATTAATGACAATGGACGTTCTCTTTAATTTGTATTATACAGTATGTAAGGTAGTAATTTTCATAAAACTTTCTACCTTGTTATGAGTAATGTTCGTAACACTGTGATTTGCTCTTAACAATCTAGTTGAATTTGCGTTTGCAGTTCTGACTGTGAGAGATTTTGTTATAGTTATTTATTTATTGCAGTAAAACTTGAAAAACAGCGCTGCCAACCAAAAATTCTGTCAACTAATACTTGATGTTATGAATATAAAAGCAGAAAAAAATTGTATACTGTCGATTTAACACAAAATCTTTTGTAGGTCTACCAGCAAAAACAGAATGTTTGCTGCAGCAAACTACAAAAATGTGATGTGCCATTGCAGATCTTTCTGTTAGAACTGCACACACGAGTTCATACTGACTACGTCTCCAATATGAAACTCCCATATTTAAATTTGAAAATAATGCTCGTTCAACACTTTAATGTTATAATCTAAGCGATATGTTTTTTTTTTTCAATTTAATTATTAAGAGTTGTGCTGAAGAGGGTTAATCTCCATAAAAAATTTTGACTTTTTAACTTAATTATAGAAAGCATTTAATACACATATAATTTAAAATGAGTACATATTAATACACATAAGTATGCAAAATTATGTGCATACGTTACAGTTGTACAAAATATTTATAAGAACATTACAAACATATATAAAAATTTACATAATTTCTTTCAACACTTTCTACATTATAAAAACTATTGATGACTTATGAACCAGCACCTACAATAAAAAGGGAGAACTGTTTTTTGTTTTTTTCGTTAAAATAATAAGCAGGCAAGCTCCCGACTGAAAGTGACAACTGGGATTTAACAACAAAAAAAAAATTTTTTATAATCTGCTCCCATTAATAATAAAAATTTATTTATATTTTTTTTTTTGTATATTTTCAACCCATGTGGCTGCGATCATTTACCTTATTTGTGCAACGTAACGCATTGTCATGTTCTCGCTTATGTTTTTATGTTAAAAATTTATTTATGATTTTCTTTATGTTTTACTTTTATGTAATTTTGTGTATTTTAAAAATAAAAGAAAACGTGACAATGTCAAAATATCCGGATATAAAATAAATTTTTTTTTAAAATGGAAAAAGAATTCCGAACATTTCAGGCGTGCCGCAATAATTCACCTATAACACATTAAGAATCATTAGTTTTCCTCTTAAATAATAATATCTTGTATACGTACTTGTATACGTATTATTTAAGTATACAGCCATAACAAGATATATATGTATGATCTACAAATTATATTGATAATGTGGTGTTGGGGTAAATTACAGAAATTAGCATAAGTCTATACTTATTGTGCACAAAAATTGTTAATATATTTATGAGAAAGTATTCGTATTTAATAGCTCCTTATTGTTAGTTTAATTCTTTATAGTTTGTTAAAATTTAATTTCGTTCTCCTATTAGGCTTCTGGATTAAGATATGAATGTGAAACTGTAAAATCTTTCTAAACCAATATTCCTGAAACCATTTGCTTTTGTAAGTAACAAAAAATAAGATTTTCTTTAAAATTATTTAAAAATCAATAATAGAAGTGTATTCACAATATTGCTTTTTTTATAATGGGTAATAAGTAAGTTCCACGAAGTTCGATATAAAATCAAAAATAAACCTAAATTAAAATTGCCATAATAAAAGCAATTTGTTACAATTAGAATTTTAATGAATTTAAATTTTGTATATTTGAATCAAGATTATAATAAAAGATATAGATAAGACTGTTAAAGTATTTGACAAAAATTTATTCAATTCCAAATTATTCGAAAATCATAGCTCGAAGAATATCATGAAGAACAAATAATTATAAATTCACAGTAGTTTTCCATATTTAAGAAAACAATATCAATTAAGAATAAATTCAATTATGCTATCTGACGACCTTAAATCATTATCTCTAAAGATACATAAAACATATTCAATCACCCTATCCTTTAACTACCCGATCACCCTAACTATCCTTGACAATACCGCATTTGTATATTATAAATTTACTTACAGAATATTACAAATATTCGGGTAATTGCGAGAAAAATTGGTTCGAAGGTGGGTCTTTGGAAGTGATCGCCTTAAATTCTGGACTATGGTTCAGGGCAAACCTGGAATTATACTTAAAAAATGCAATTAAGAATTAAAATTGGCAATTTTATTTTGTTTTAAAAACAATTCATAAATTAATGTATGGCTTATAATGTATTAAATCGATAAATAAAGCAAAAATATTATTCTTTATTATCAATCGAAATAGTTCTAATATAACAAGACATTTTCACCAGTCCAGTTTGGCATTTACTCACTCAAGAAAAGCAAGCAAGTATACAATGCATTCTAAAGTACTGGAAAAGTATAATCTTTGAAATATTCATTAAACATACATACGTACCCTTCGAGTGAGCGTTACTTCCAAAACAAATGCATTTACGTCTTATATTTTGGAAGGTGCCGTACAAAAGCCTAAGCCGATATTTTAAAATCTTTGTATGGCAATTGTGTTGTAAGTTAAGATTCTTCATACGAAGAAGAATACCCATCTCTCATACAGTCAATGATGTTCAATAACCTTTTTTAATAATTAATTTAAAATAATAGTTGATTTTCTCAAACCCGAAAACCATTAAGTTATTTTATCATTATTCCAATAAATATTTTGACATTTCGTATTATTTTGAATTATAAGAGGGTTGCTAGTCAAAAATAGTCAACTCATCTACTTTATTTTCACCTAAGATTATTAGAACCAAACTATTCTACGACTACTTAATATTGAATTCAAAACTACATTTTTGTTCAAAGACAATGCTTTGAGATTTTCCAATTCTGAACAAAAATTCGAAAAGAAAATGAAAATTCTTTTTAAATTATAACCAACAAAATTTAGAAGCAAAAAAAAAAAATAAGTTGTGAACTAAAACAAACCAATAAATTTTCCCAAAATACAAAATTATCTTAACCCGAACCATTTAATCTTAAATGAATAAAATGAAGGAATCAAAATAACAAAACAGCTACAATAGGAAAAATAAAAGAGTTTTCAATCTATTTTTATAATCCGTATGAATCTGAAAAATGTCACTTTTTTTCCTCCAAAAATAATAAACAAACAAACAAATAAATAATAAACAAAAACAAACAAACAAACACTCTCTTAAACATTAAGACGTGGTATGGCAGTATTTAGCATAAAAGTCACAAAAATGAAGAACGAATAGGGGAACGAGTGGATACCGAATATAAAGATAAATGAAAAAGCGAAATATTTAAACCATAAAAATGTCTTAAAGGGTTCTGCTTGTCTTTTTGACAAAATCACATTAAATTCTTTTGGTAGAGTAGATGAGTGATCTTTATTTAAAGTTCAAAGACAATTTAATGTATTTGTTTTGATTTTTTCATAAATTCGAATGTTGAAGAAGAAAATTGGAAAAACTTGAAAAATTTTCATATACGAACAGAGTGAAATTTAATGAATATTTGGAAAAATCCTTTGATTTTGGAAACAAATTTTCAAAGATTTAATTTTTATAATTACAAGCGAAAAAATGGAAATTAATTCAAATTTGTAGTAATGCAATCTAATCTAATCTAACCAACTATACTAGTCATATAAGCCCTAGTATAATAATGCAATATAGCAATAGTTATAAGGGCGGAATATGTTTAGAAACAGTTTATATCACTGTATAGATCATTAGATTTATTGTGTTCAATATTGCATTGATAAAGTGCCTATAATTCGAGCAAAGTTTTCGGAGCAGTAAAACATACAGGACATTTGTAACGAATAAAAGAATGTTCAATTCATAATAAATTTAATAATATTTTGCAAAATTTTTTCAATTTTATTGAGAGCGATTCGATATTTTTTTTCAAAATCTGAGCTTTAGTTCCGGAATTTTTTAGTATTTTGCTAAATTTCAAATATTTTTCTATTTTACAAACCCAAAATGAAAAATAACAATTAAAACACTAAACATTACGTGTATTGGTATAAATCGCTTAATATTTTAATTAACAAGATTGCCCCATTTTAATTTTCATTTATTTTAATATAGAAAAACAAAACAAAAAAAAATTACATAAAAAATACGTGATTTTCCAACAATAAAATAAAGAAAAGGAAAAAATTTACAACAAAACACCATACCATAAAAGAAAACAAAGAAAATTTTTGTCAACTGTTAATGTGCGGATAGAATTTTTCCCTCAGGGGTCATTTCGTTTACATTTTTTACACAAAAAAAAAAAAATATAAAAAAAATTTTCTTTAAATTTCTTAAATTTAAAAAATTTTTCCCGAATTAAAAGAAGTAAAAGTACGTATGTCACAACAAAAACAAACACACGTACGCACAAAATATTTAATTATAGCTACGCAAAAATAAAAATAAATACAAAGGTATACACATACATTAAGGCGCAAACATAAAATAAACAAAAAAAAATTTCCCTTTTTAATTTTCTTTTTAAAATGCAACAATAAAAATGAATTTTCTTAATGTTTTTCCTTTTTCATTCTCTTAAACTCGATGTTAAATTAACCTAACGAAGAAAATGCCGCGGAACGACAAACAAAAAAAAAAGAAAAATCGCGAAAAATAAAAGGAAAAAAAAATAATCACAAAGTTCTTAATGAAGATATTTTGAGTTCCCCACAAGTTTTAATGAAAAAAAATTACGCATAATTAAAAATGGGCGAAAATCTCATTTAGCATTAAGAATAAAAATTAGAAAAAAAAAGTAAAAAGTTAAGAAAAATCCTTTTCATATACCTAAACCCCGTATTCTTTGCAACCGTTGAATAAAATCCCATTATTTTTAAACGAACTTTGGTGTAAAACATCTTTTACATAATTAAGAAATTAACAGGATGCGCCATAATAACTGTTAAATACTTAACTTTAAGTATTCTTATTTATTATATTACACCCAGGGAAGAGTTGAAAAATTCTTTATAGTCTGTATAAGCCTCTAATTAATAGCAAAAGAAAAATGATAAAAAGTTTTGAGAAAAAGTAAAATTCCTTTAAAATACTCGAGTGAGTTTCGTGTCTTTAACACTAAAATTATGATAATAGAATCTTATTATGCGTTTTATTAATAATTTTAAATGACACAAAGTCTATAATAAATTTTTATTCGCGTTGTGAGAAAACAATGTAGGCTTTTGACGGTTTTATAAAAATAAAAGTTACAACTAAGTACTTTTGTAATAAATTTTACCCGTTAATTTGAAGCGTGTAAAAATATTGACGGGTAAGTTGTCTGTATGGTGACATTTTACTTAGACAATTTGTTAATGCAACGTTATAAGATTAAGGCTCATCCAAGTGAAATAAGAAGAAAGAGAGTAAAATAAGATGTTAACAATTAAAACAATGT